GTAGTTTCCTTATCAAAACGTATATCCGGAAAATGGGGCAAAGTCCGTTAAGTATTTTTTAAAACACTTTCAGTCAGTTTAGAAACATAACCTTTCTTTTCATAATTATTAATAATGTCACTATAGCAAGCTTAATCATAAGTAATTTCTTAGTCATTTTCCAATTCACTTTTATTTTCTTTCCAAGTCACCGATACCTAATATCTATTGCTTTCGTCATCATACACGATTTCACTTTTCATCATTTTTATTATTTTCTCATCAGAAACACTCATGCTGGTTCCTTGCTTACTCTCAATTTCTTCCAATTCCCAAAATCTTTTAAGAATTTCATTTATATCACCATCTTTGTTACGGACATTTGTAATGTCCATGTGAAATGTAAACAAATTGATTTCCTCATATTTCATTGTTACGGGCCGACACATGTCCAACCTTAAGGAGTCAATCTGGCTGAAGGTGAACCTTCCGGTCTACCGATTTCTTGCAACGACCTGTGTTACTCTAAATAATCTATTTCAATTAAAAGATCAACTTTTTGTCGATGTCCTATTGATGGAAAGTGAAATCCTTTTAAATGCGGCCACTGATCGCAATACTTTGCCCAGTCTACCGGTCTCAAGTTCCCTGTTACTTTTTGTGTTGTATGGGCTTCCATGTTAATTTATTTTAGTGTCTATTTAAAGTGCTAAGCTGAAAGTTCACACCCATTGTATCAAGATTTACAGATTTTCCATTCAAAGTGTTCACTTTTTACAGTCTCGTTCTCTGAACTTACTCCTTATTCTTTTTTGAAACATCTTCGTTTAAATTATGACCTTAGTACTCCCATCGTCCAAAATAATTCATAAATTGGGTGGAATTTCTCGACCATTTTGGCATACAACAGGACAACCTGTACGAAGTGCTACATAAACATTTTGTGTACATGTACTTGTATATGCCTGACTTGTAAATGTCTGAACTTTTGTATTATGTTGACTTTGCAAAGTGTTCTGTTTAATTTCACCAAGCCTGAACACTACAGCGTCAGGATTTACATCTGGCTGGTACTACAGTCTGTAATAAATTTTCAATCAACCATTTATTCCGCACTTTTTATTTACTCTTTTGCATGTTCTACCTGAATTATTGTTCCCCCTTGACAATGAAAACAAATTTTTAAAGATTTTGCTTTCTCCAATCTATCTTTCCCTGAATGTACCTTCATTGCTTTACCATCCCATATTCCATGTGACTTGTGACACAGCTTACACTCCCTCTGTGTCTATCTAATGTTACTGAAGAACGACCGTTGATCCTTAGGTTTTTCAAACTTCCCGTCATGACCAAATTTTGTTTCCATAGCTATTGTTCGGAATTCTGCTTCCTTCAGTATACATTCATTTAATATCCCTACCGATTCTGTTAGCTCTTTTTCATATATCCATCTAGCAATCATTGATTCCTGGAGCTTTTTTAACAACTGTGAATAAATGAACCCACTTTGTAAATCTTCAGCATTTGTTTCTTTAATGTTGACGATGGCTACATCCAGTAAATCTGCAACTTGTTCTATATTCTTAGCGTTTTCATATCTTATAGGTGGATTTTTTTCTATCTCATCTAAGAATTTGTTCACAGTTTTTCGTTTTCCTCCAAATTTCCTTTCAAGTCTCTCTTTTGCTTTTTCATAAGCAATTACACTGTGACCAAGTCCTACTATAGACTTCAAAGCTTCCCCTCTTAGATATTGCCGCATTTATAAAAAATTATATTCATCACTTGTATATAAGCTGTAAATGCAGCTTTCCAAAATTCATACTCCTTCTTAGAACCCGTAATATTTGTATTGATACTCGTTTCATTTGCTTTGATAAATCAATGTCAACTTGCTTTTTACTATCGTCTACATGACTATTTTCAGAACCATTTTAACTTTTATTTTCTTCTTGTAACTTATGATAGTCCTGCATTACTTTCTTATATTTCTTATCTATAAGTTCAACCTCTGACATAGTGTCGAACATTTCTTTTGTTCTACCCTGAATTGTATATTCATTCACTAGTTCTTTCAAAACTTGATGTACATTATCCATAGCTCCTTCTGGTTTGTCAATGTAGCCTTGCAACAAAGACTTGTTCTCATTTCTATCATCTAGCTCATATTTTAACCTATTCTTCATTCGTGTAAACTTTGCCTTCAATGTCGATTTTCTTAACCGCATATCAACGAAATTCGATTCCTCTGTTTGTTATTCGGTACCAGAATTACCCTTTTCCCCTTTTCAATCCGACTGTCCGACCTAACTGTCCGACTACTATTACACTACCGCGTCTTAATGTCTTAATTTACGGAAGCGTCCTGGTGCCAATTAAGCATGTTCTATATAAAAAAAGAAAACTCCTACGTAGGACTTTTTAACTCCTATGTAGGACTTTAAAACTCCTACGTAGGAGATAAAAAATCTTAATTAGGAGTTTATAACTCCTACGTAGGACTTTAAAACTCCTACGTTGGAGATATAAAAACCTAGTTAGGAGTTTTAAAGTCCTACGAAGGATCTAAAAAACTCCTACGTAGGATTTTATAAATCCTACGTAGGAGTTTAAAAAGCCTAATTAGGAGTTTATAACTCCTACATAGGACTTTATAAGTCCTACGTAGGACTTTAAAAACTCCTACGTAGGAGATAAAAAAACCTAATTAGGACTTTTAAACTCCTACGTAGGAATTTTAAACTCCTACGAAAGACTTTTTAACTCCTACGTAGGACTTTGTAAGTCTTACGTAGGACTTTATAACTCCTACGTAGGAGATAAAGAACATAATTAGGAGTTTTTAAGTGCTACGTAGGAGTTTATATCTCCTACGTAGTAGTTACAAAGTCCTACGTAGGACTTACAATATAATTTTGAATAATTTTTTTTATAAATGCGGCAATATCTAGGAGTTAAAAAGCCTACGTAAAGGAGTTAAAAAGTCCTACGTGGGAGTTTAAAAGTCCTACATAGGAGTTATAAACTCCTATAAGACTTTTTTTATCTCCTACATAGGAATTAATAACCCTACGTAGGATTTATAAAGTCCTACCAAGCAGTTATAAACTTTTTTTAAACATTGCTTCTAAACAGCATGCACGCTAAAACAAGTCATTTTACAGAAGGGTACAATTTTTTAAAAATTAGCAAAAGTAGCAAAAAATCAACAAGGTTGAGCACCAGTTTCTTTGTGATATTTTGCATGTATAAGGAGTTGCTAAAGCCGAGATGGTGTTCCTTTAGCCTGTTTATTTGCAGGTATTTTTTGGCAGAGAGACGAAATGTTTTGTTGTTTTGGGTCTCGGGTCACTGTAGATTTTGGGCTTCAACGGAATGAATTGCAACTTTTTTGACAGCCTGTCTGTTGCAGAAAGGAAAATTTCTTTGTAGATTTGCAATCTTATGTTATATAAGAAATGTGTTTTCTTTTTCCAGGCTGTGTAGTTTGTTATCAGAATTATTAGACGTATTGCTTGTAAGACATTGACGGCAGGAACTTGAAATAAACTGTTGAGTGCTACCTAAACCGGAAAACATAACAAGCCTAACACCACTCAAAATAATACTTCTTTTTACAAAGGCTTATTCGATAAGAAACTATAGTTCACTCTTTAGGACAGTTGCGATTTTATTTTGTAACGTGTATAGCTTACTTCACACTTAAAGTGACATTATGTTTATTTTCTATTGTCAAGTTGAGATAAATTGAATATATATTTCCAACTATTGAACGTTATAATGGCGATTGACCAACAGTTAATGGAGAAAAATGTTTGGGACAAAATATAAATATGCCTGAAATATTAAAAAGGTTGTTCCACTGTTTAATGAATTGAACGTTACAGGTAAATTCCAATAGATTTTTTAATATAAAATTTCCCTTGGGTCACATGAGTTATTTATCATCATGCGAGGTAACTTATACATTTGAAAGGAATTATATCAAATGTTAATATTATTTCACCTGTTCACTCATGATATACCCTAAGATAGGCATATTTCACTTTCAGGATGTGATATATTTGTAACTTTGTAAATACAAGCACGAGAGCGTTTCGTTTAAGGAATGAACTACGAGATGCACGTTCGCTAAAAGTCTACATTGAATTTTTATCCTAGCAATGACAAAAAGAATAACATCCATATTGATTCTAACTGAATGGTTATGGAATTGAAATAAGTTTTGTGCGTAATTCTTTTGCTATGCAATGTGATAAGGCAAATCATCATATTTTTTTAAAACTGAAAATTATTGGAAAAATAATCATAAAATTTTGAAAGGAACACTTTATTTATGTTCTCGTTCAAAGACTTGGAAACAACCCAAAAAATGACGAAATTTGAATGGTAAAACATGAATAAAGAGTGAAATAATAAGAAACGTATTTCATTTATTTTTTCGTCACATGATTATATACTTTTGTTTGATTTACCACTGGTTAAACCAGGAAGTGCCAATCAATAATCCTTATATTTCAATAATAAGTAATAGAAAGAGTATCGAAACACGAGGCTATCTGATTTGTACGAGGGTGCGTAGCCCCCGAGTATTAATCAGATTTCCGAGTGTTTTGATGTTTTTTCTCTTTTGTATCATAGTCAAAAATAAAAACACGATCCCTGTTGTCACAATATGAAAAACCAGAAAAAAGGACCCAATGAACGAGCTTCTGAATATGATATTTCTATCGATTTCCCTTTCTCGTCGTCACATTATTTAAACCCCAGACAAAATGAACCAATCAATGAGCATGTTCTGCAGTGCGGGTATCTAATACCTGAACTCCAGTTAACGCACTGTGCATGTATATGTATACGATTAAACTCTGACACATTTTCAATAGAAAGGTCCCCAAACTATGACACAAGAAAGATCTATAAATTATAATACACTTTTTTTTAAATATTATATACACCCTAACAGACGTTTTTTATATTATATTACAAGTTTAAACTGTATACCTAGATTTTGGACATCTATAGAGCCATTAGATTGAATATTGCACATGATAACTCATATATGAAAGGTTGTGGAGATAACTGTAAAGATAGGTTAATAGTTTGTACAGACAGACATAACTTTAACAACTGTGTGATGGGGAAGAAGTCGCTTAAAGGGAATATTTATCAAACTGATGGTGGGTATGGATGGATTGTTGTAGCTTGTACATTCTTCATTGGATTTATCATAGATGGCTTGGCGTATTCGTTCGGGACATTGCTGGTGGAGTTGCTGGTGCAATTCAAACAGGACAGGGCATCTACTGTTGTTATCGGTTCAATCCTGACAGGAGTAATGTACCTCATAGGTATCGGTGTTTATACATACAAAATATGTGTCATAAATTGATAGTACATGCCTTCCTATTTCATTTCATACCTTTGTTAATAAAGTATTAATTTTATGCTTTCGTCATTCAAAATAATTTCATAAATTCAACTGGTTTGAATTTATGGAATTATTATAATTTCACAAAAACGGGTTAATATGCCTTTTGTGTCAATATTTTGTGAAAGATCAGTCAATAATAGCCTTCTCACCTGTCAGAACATTTCGCTGTTGAGATTTTTCAAATTTGTTTTTACTTTAGAATTATCGTAATACGTGACATATGTTTTTTTTCTTAATCTTATTTTATCGTGCTTTTGTCGCATTTTTTTCTTTTGGGCTTGGATGTTTTCATCACGTTAAATTAAAATTTAATACAAGAAGTTAAATATATTTAAAAAAAAAATAAATTAAAGTATTGAGTTTCCTTTTCATTTTTAAAAGACACAGAATTACAGACGAAACGGTTCCTGAGTGAATCATTCGCTTTCAAACATTAAATTTCTTAAAAATACTGCTAAATAATTGTCAAAAATATGCTTAAAAGACCAACGTTAAAATTCCTATTTACTTGAAAACGTGCCATGTTACCAAACCGCTTTGTCTGACCAATGACTTGTTTTCATATAAATCATGTATACTGTATTTAATTTTATTTATTTTCTCTGATAATCACCTTCTTCTCGTTTAAAGTTCTTATTTTAACACTATCGGAATTTCTTCTATATAAACTAAGAAGACCCGAAGCGTGCATTATTCTACAACAATGCACTCGCCGTTCTTGCTATCTCCCTGTGTATTTTCACATTGAGGGCGCCATTTTGTTTGAAAAATCTGATAAATAAAAACAATTTTTTGTCGAATTTTGTTGTGAAAACTATCTAGAATGAAAGAAAATGGTCTAACTAAGTAAATGAATCCGAACACCAATATATTTTATTCAGTCGTTAACGCTGTACAGACGTTTAAAGTATTGTTTACGTAACGTCACAATGTAGCGCCAAGCAGCACGTGCAAAACAATCAAATCAAGTACGCTACTTTAATGTTGCAAACGAGTTAAGTTTTACAATTACTTCACTTTTAAGAATTTTTATTTCGCTTTAAAAATTATAGAGTGAAATAAAATAAACAAACAGAGTTTTATCAACGTTTTCAAAATGCATTATTCTCAAAATGTTTCTACACACGGAAGATTTAACGACAGTTTTTTTCATACCACTGTAACAGCCTTTAAAGAACGTTTCTATTGGAAACTCTGAGGCGAAAACAAATTAAACCACCAAACATAAAGTCCAACATTATAATAATAATTATATTTTTCTTGACGTGTTAGAATGGAAATAGATATTAATTCTTTGTGCATTGTTGAATAATAATGCACTTTTTTCGTTCAAGTGCTTTATAATTAATCACTCAGGCCTATTGGCCTTCGTGATTATATTACTACGCATTTGAACAACTCGAACCGTGCATTATTCTACAACAATGCACTCAGAATTGATATCTATTTCCTAAATATGTTATGTTCGATTATAGTATATTGGTGTTCAACTGGCACCAAAGAAAAACTACATAACATGGCCGTGAATTACGCAGGGTAACGGGCTAGCAGTCTAGCGGATAAACAGTGTGAACTGAGTGGGTTAGCAGTCTAGCGGATGTGCGGGCTAGCAGTCTAACAGTGTGAACTGGGTGGGGTAGCAGTCTAGCAGTGTGAATTGTGCGGGCTGGCGGGCCAGCGGGCTAAACTCTAAATTTTAACTGATTCAACATGAAAACGTTATGATACATATCCTAGCAGTGTGAAGTGGGCGGGCTAACAGTGTAGCAGGCTAGCAGTGTGAAATAAGCGGGCTGTCCGTTCAGCGAGCTAAACTTAAATACTTAATTAATGAACACGAAAACGTTATGATACATTTCCTTGAGGTGTGAAGTGGGCGGGCTAAGTGTTGCGGGCTAGCAGTGTGAACTGAGCGGGATGACGGGCCAGCGGGATTTACTTTATTACTTAATTGAATCAACATGAAAACGTTATGAAACATTTCCTAGCAGTGTGAAGTGGGCGGGCTAACAGTATAGCGGGATAGCATTGTGAAATGGGGCGGGCTGGCGGGTTACCGGGCTCAACTTTAATACTTATTTGAATCCACATTAAAACCTCATGATTCATTCCCTAGCAGTGTGAAGTGGGCGCGCTGACAGTGAAGCGGGCTAGCAGTGTGAACTGGGCGGGCTAGCGGGCTTAACGCTAAAACTTAACTGATTGAACATGAAAACGTTATGATACATTACCTGACAATGTGAAGTGGGCGGGATACAATGTAGCCGGCTAGCAGTGTGAACTGGGCGGGCTGGCGGGCCCGCGGGCTGAACTTTAATACTTAATTGAATCAACATTAAAACCTCATGATACATTTGCTAGCAGTGTGAAGTGGGTGGGCTAACAGTGTAGCGGGATAGCAATGTGAACTGAGCGGGCTGGCAGGCCAGCGGGCATAACTTAAATACTTAATTGAATCAACATGAAAACGTTATGAAATATTTCCTAGCAATGTGAAGAGTGCGGGCTAACAGTTTAGCGTGCTAGCAGTGTGAACTGAGCGGGCTGGCGGGCCCGCGAGCTGAACTTTAATACAAAATGTACTTAATTGAATGACCATGAAAACGTTATGATAATTCCTTGCGGTGTGAAGTGGACGGGCTAACAGTGTAGCGGGCTAGCAGTGTGAACTGATCGGGCTGGCGGGCCAGCGGCCTAAACTTTAATACTTAATTGAATCAACATGAAAACGTTATAAAACATTTCCTAGCAGTGTGAAGTGGGCGGGCTAAGAGTGTAGCGGGTTAGCAGTGTGAAATGGGCAGGCTGGCAGGCCAGCGGGCTTAACTTTAATACTTAATTGAATCCACATTAAAACCTCATGATACATTTTCTAGCAGTGTAAAATGGGCGCGCTGGCAGTGTAGCCGGCTAGCAGTGTGAACTGAGCGGGCTGGCGGGCCAGCGGGTTAAACTTTAAAACTTAACTGATTAAACATGAAAACGTTATGATACTTACCCAGCAGTGTTAAGTGGGCGGCCAACATTGAAGCGGGCTAGCAGTGTGAACTGGGTGGGCTGGCGGGCCAGTGGGAATAACTTTAATACTTAATTGAATCAACAATAAAACCTCATGATACATTTTCTAGCAGTGTGACGTGGGCGGGCTACCAGTGTAGCGAGCTAGCAGTGTGAACTGAGCGGACTGGCAGGCCAGCGGGCTAAACTTTAACACTTAATTGAATGAACATGAAAACGTTATGAAACATTTCCTAGCAGTGTGAAATGGGCGAGCTAACAGTGAAGCGGGATAGCAGTGTGAACTGGGCGGGCTGGATGGCCAGCAGGCTAAACTTTAATACTTAATTGAATCCATATTAAAACTTCATGATACATTTCCTTGCAGAGTGAAGTGGGCGGGCTGACAGTGTACCGGGCTAGCTTTGTGAACTGGGCGGGCTTGCGGGCCAGCGGGATGGCGGACCAGCTGGCTTAAATGTTATACTTAACCGATTCAACATGAAAATGAAATGAACATGAAAACGAACAATTCAACATGGAAACGTATGATACATTTCCTAGCAGTATGAAGTGGGCAGGCTAACAGTGTAGCGGGATAGCATTGTGAACTGGACGGGCTAGCGGGCCAGCAGGATAAACGTTAATACTTAACTGAATAAACATTAACACTTTATGATACATTTCCTAGCAGTGTATATAGCAGTTAGAGTTCAAGCCCAGCCAAATCCACGTAAAATCCCCATATAGTTAGGAAACTCTGATCGTACATCTGTCGGTATCGGTATGTCGTCGAGTTAAGACCGCTGGCCCGCCAGCCCACCCAGTTCAGACTGCTATCCCGCTACACTGTCAGCCCGCCCACTTCACACTGCTAGGAAATGTATCATGAGGTTTTAATGTGGATTCAATTCAGTATTAAAGTTTAGCCCGCTGACCCGCCAACCCGCCCTTTCACACCGCTAGCCGCTACACTGTTAGCCCGCCCTCTTCACACATGCTAGGAATTGTTTCATCATGTTTTTATGTGGATTCAATTAAGTATTAAAGTTTAGCCCGCTGGCCCACCAGCCCGCTCAAATCACACTGCTAGCCCGGTACACTGTTAGGCCGTCCACTTCACACTGCTAGGAACATTATAGTGAGGTTTTAATGTTGATCCAATTAAGTATTTAAGTTTTGCGGCTGGCTCGCCAGCCCGCCCATTTCACAATGCTAGACCGCTAGACTGCTAGCCCGCCAAGGTCACACTGTTAGTCCGCTAGACTACTAGCCCGCCCAGTTCACACTGTTAGCCCGCTAGACTGCTAATCTGCTCAGTTCACACTGTTAGCCTGCTAGACTGCTAGCCCGTTACCCCGCGTACTTCACAACACTATAAATTTAATATTTTTCAGACTAGATTTAAACCACGAAAGTTCGCTTTAGTTCCCTAGAAAATATACAAGTATATTTTAATATGACATCACACATTTATATGTCATTTTAAATACATATTATTCGAGCTAGCTTACGGAACGTCGGTGGTTCTACTCAGGTGCCCGTTCGTGCCTGAAATAATGCACGGAAGGGCACCTGAGGTCTTCCTCCACCAGTAAAGCTGGAACGTCGCGATATGACCTATACTGTGTCGATGTGACGTAAAACCCAAAACATAACAAAAACAAAATACATATTATAACACTACAATTTTCAGTTTATTTGACCTTGATAATAATACTGCTATTTTGACGCAAGGTAAATTTACATGAAGTCTACATCATAACAATCTACACACAAAAGATTAAACTATTACAATATATCAATGACGTTCTCAAACCGAACAGAGATGGCATGAAATACATAACACAAACTTATGTAAATGCTTTGCATATTATTATATTAGATGAAAACTTTTATCTGGTTACTGGTATATGATGTGATAATAAATAATATACACGTAATCTATGAGATCCACTTCTCTGCTAATTATATTTTTCAGATTATCAATTTGCATATTTAGTATACGTGTGCTTTTAAGTGCTGACGGTTGCAACGTGTTATACATTAAAAACCAAGCATTAAATTTTCTTCATAAGTTTGTTTGACTGAATTGCTTTATTGTCATTGCTAAAAGGAGACACAATTTGACAATTTTTCCACTTGTCATATATGGATCAACAAGTATTCGTCTTTTAAATATATTAAGTTTTTTATCATGGAACATTTAACGCATTGTATTATTTTATTCTTTTTATACTCCATTAAATGTGATAAAATATAGATGTGTAGACAGCATATCATAAATAAAGATATACATTGTATAAAATAAAAACATATTTAGAATGCACTGTTGTATTAAATGTTTCCTATGTATTATGGTGTTTCTTAAAACAAACAAACAAAAACATGCATTGCATTGCATCAATATTAGACCAATTTAGCATACATTGCAAGATGGCAAATATTGAATATATCAGGATGAAATTTCTTTCAAGGCCCACCATTTCCCAGTATGCTATCATTTTTATTTCTACAAATCTGATGTCACATTACAACTCACTAGCCAATGGCCTAATTTATCTTTAGCTTCCGTTGTCTTTTGACAATTAGCACCATGATATAGCACTTTTTTCTGGATGTAAAAATACTATTTCGTCACATTTATCTACTTTGATAACAAGTTATTTCCCATTTAGCACTACTTTCTTCAGATAATAACCTACACTCATGCTATTCAGCCGTTATTTTACAGTAACATTACTCATGTTTGCCCTTCCTAAGGAATGAAATAGCTATTCATTTATGAGGCATACTTTGCGTTAAAGTGAAGATAAGTTGCATGATAGATTTATTTATTTATTATAAAGGTCACATCAATTTAAAATATACTTATAACAAAGCAGCATGTATTGACACAAATAAATAAAATACATTGTCATTTGTAAACAAATTAATTAATTATATAATTAATTATATTAGAAACTATAATGCAAATAATATGCAATAAAAATACCCATTTGCCCCTCAAAGTCGAAACATTGATTTGCTAAAATCCTAAATATTAAGTTACAGTATAACATCTGAAAACTGAACATGTGGGGCAAAAAAAAAGATAAACAAGATCAACAAGGAAAGGCGGTGTTCACTGAACGCAACCCCCATATGACCCATATAAGCCCAAAAGTTCTAATACTAAGCAGCTAGTACACGCTGGCTGCTGAGAAGAAACAAATGCCATAAAATAGATTAGGTGTTCCGAATTTAGATATTACTATATTCAGATGAAATAATTACTTTTAGCCATGGCATTCTAATAATTTTAATAATTATATTTTCCTAGGAATGAAAATTGTGAGGAAAAAGACACAAGAAAACAAGCGTTATGGTATTATATATTACATCAAATCACGGTTCGTATTCAAATGTATTGGCAAGATAGAAATTTGTGTTGACAGAATTGATAAACTTGATATCAACAAACAAACGACATTTTGGACACTGAACCGACCACTAAGTATCGCACAAACAAAGATAGTCCCAAGTTTAAGGTCAGGAGATATGATCGAAACATAATCTAAATAATTATTATTTATGTCAAACAAAAACGATGACAAATATGACTAATTACTAAACTTAATCTAAAAGATGCTATGGGATCATTGAAAACTCAATCAAAGCCAGTCTGTGACACAGTTTTATTTTTGTTTTGTTTATCAAAAACAGGTTATGTTTCTTTTTCTCGATTATCTATTTTATGCCTATATGAATCACTTTCAAACATCTGAGTGTATGTATTCTTTTTCTCCTTTTCTTTTCTCCCTATAATGTTTCATCAGGACAGAATTAAAATGTATATAAGATACGATTGTGTAAACATTCCAATCTAAATTGAGTGTATTTTTTTTATTTTTACTATAAAAGGGGGAAGAAAACATATAATCTTGGTATCCCTAAGAAATTTAAGCCAACGCCAAATAATGTTGGCCAAAGAACAGAAATTATTTGCTAATTTGAAAGTAAGCCGATATGTTTTCAAATATATATTTAATTGAAAGTTTATTAAAGTTCCTCAGTATAACTCGAAAACGAAGACGATCTTATTTTGGTTACAACGGGGTTATAATTGTTGTAATCAATTCCCTCTTAAGAAATAGTGTAATATAAAAAGTTAGATAATTCAAACAGCACTAGGTCATGATAAATTATGAAGTACAGACAGTTACATGCATACATTGCAAAATTAGTGACCCAGTTTTTATAAGGAGCATACATTATATGATAATATGTGGTCATACCGTCCAAAGATAGCGACGGCTGACATATAAAGGGAAACTGTGTCGATTATCTTAAATGTGTTGAATTATTATTTGCTATACCTGACATGTACCTGTCATGTATTTGTAATGATAAAATAAAATTTTGAATAAATTTTTAAAAGAGCTATTTATAAAAATCATTTTGAAAATATATAAGTTTGCAATCCATTTCTTGATTTTAAATAGATATTGAAATTTTTACACTAAATGCCTTTTACAGCAGAATGTCAAATGAATTTCCGTGAAAATGACAATAAAAACGAACAATAAGATTAACTCATGAAATTGAAAATGTTAAAAATACACTATTTGGATACATAACTTTTCCGTGGCATTACATTCATTAAGTCGTTTACATCTTAGACTTAACAATAAAATGAACTTGTTTGTTTGTTTGTTTATTTGTTTGTGTGTTTCGTTTTGTAAATGATCCCAAGTATCAATATCATAGATATTTCAGGTATCTTATCTATCTAGAATTTATAAATTTTGACATATCTTACTAACTTCACTCTTAGTTATGTGATACTTGTTTAGATAAATTTTACAAAACCTACCTTTTTATTCACAGGACCATTAGCCGGAGCCTTGTCTGACATATATGGTTGTCGTATCATCGTGTTCTGTGGCGCTGTTATCAGCAGCGTTGGCTTCGTCATCAGCTCCTTTGCCACGAGCGTCTTGTATCTGTACTTCTCGTACGGTCTACTGGGAGGTAATGAAAGATAGTTACACAATATTGAATTAAAACCAGAGCGTTAACTTATTATATTAAAATAATTTTATATACAAACTTCCTGACCAATGTTTTTGTAATAGACATAAAACTATTAACATTTGAGAAAGATAAAATAATTTAATAAATTAATCTTAGGAGAAACATGCAGTAATTGTTGATATTAGACTGGCTGATTTATCGACAACTATTGGACAAAGAAAATAACTAAATAAAGTGTTACTTTGGGCATTCCGGTTTTATGGTTGTCCGGTTAAGAAATAAAGTCAAACTCCTGTTCCCATAAAGTCGGGTTTCTATATCTTTCAAGTTTGTTAAAATATGTTTACTCCAATGAAATGTTTGTCTATTAGCATTTATACTTGTATTATATATACTTAAGGGCAATTTGATGTAGTGTACTTGAAAACATCAGGTACAACTGACCTTATTTTCTAGTGTCAATATCAATAGATATTGTTACAATTTATTCCATTCTACAAGAAATATAATGTTCAGAAACATATAATCATATATCAAATGAATGATCAAGATTCTGTTTTAAAAGCGTGCATGTAAAATGCACATACCATGTGTTACAGTAATGTTACTTTTTTACATCTTTTAAGGCATTGGTTTCGGATTCATGTTCCTACCAGCAGGTGTCTGCGTCATTCAGCACTTCACGGAACGTCGGGCTCTTGCCAATGGTATTGCCGTATGCGGTTCAGGTAAAATTTATAAGAAAACATTAATTTGAGGAGTGAAATATATAACGACATTGGAGTTATAAAATATATCTAATAAGAAAATAGATCGAAGTAAATGTAAAATAGAAGACAAATAGTGAGAGAGGAAACATATAACGCAGTCAATGGGAAAGCGCCCATGCTTGCATCAAATACTACATACACATGCACAAACAAATAAGCAGACTGTTCAGCAATTTTTATAGAATAATTATTGCTATATAGTAACAATCATATAATCTGCAAAGTAAATATTTGTTTTGTAATTGTAGCGTTAATATCTTATCTATTTATATTTTTGTAATGTAATATGTATGTGTAAAGCGCAATCTCAAAGTTTAACAGTATGTAGCTTTCATGAAATATTTACCTTTATTATGAACATATCTATACAATTGTTTGAGTCTAAAATTAATAATTAATCAAGCCTATTTCTAATCAATCATTTTCATAAACTAAATGTTTTCAGTTTTGTTATTACAGGTGTTGGAATGTTTGTAATGAATCACCTATCGAGATATATGCTTGATCACTATGGGTGGAGAGGAACTGTTTTATTGTTCGCAGGAATTTCACTACAAGGCACCGCACTGGGACTTCTGCTTTTACCACCACTACCGAAAATGAAAGTTGTCGACCCGATGCTTTGTGATACACCGGAGATATTTGTTGTTGAGGGAAAACAATCAAATAACAAGAGACGGCGATCCGAAGATACAGAATTGAAAGTGTTTAATATCAATGATACACTAGATACAAATGTACAACTATCTCGCTATGAAACACAAGTAGACAAAGTTTTTTTTGATAAAAAGGGGAACAGTGTGAAAAAAGTTCTTGCTCGTGTTTTCAGTAGCAAATTATTAACACACGGAGGATTCTTATTATTTTTACTCGCAAATTTTGCGGTACATCTTGCTTTTACGATTCCATTCAACCTTTTACCAGATCAAGCTGTAGAAAATGGTATGACGAAACATGAAGCTTCCTGGTTGATTTCCTCAATAGGTACGTAGGCAAATCATTCAAACAATGACTTCAAGTACATTAAGAGTTATGATTAGACATCACAATGGAACGCCGATGGTTCTACTCAGGTGCCCGTTCATGTCTGAAATAATGCACGCAAGGTGCACGAGGTCTTCCTTCACCAGTAAAACTGGAAAGTTGCCATAAGACCTAAACTGTGTCGGTGCGACATAAAATCAAACCATAAAAACCATCACAAACGAAGGCATCAGATAGCGGTGTCAGTTTGTGTTTAATAAAATAAAACGCCATGCTTTACATACATTTGCAATAATTGTGATATCAATACCGGAGATAATTATTCAAAAACAAAACATAAAAAATACAGAAAATCATAATATTACAAATGATACAGGCAATGACTTGTGTCTTATGTATTACATTATTACATTTAACCTAATGTGAATTAAACAATACAACTATCATGTACATGCGTACCTTATCTAGCCAATTCACCATGTACAAGCGCCTAATTCAAAATGAATAAAATCCATTTATTAAAATTATATAATTATATTTATGAATGACTCATGCTAAATGGCAATGTTTCTTTTTCTATATGATCAAGAGTAATGACGTAATGGTGTTGTTTTTTTTCAGGTATAACCAATACAATAAGCCGTATTATACTGGGATGGTTAGCAGACAGGAGTTGCGTCAACCGGATGGTAATGTTAGACATCGTTATATTTCTAGCCGGGATCATAACAGGGCTGTCACCTCTTCTGACTACATTTGGAACAAAACTGATATACCCATGTCTTTACGGCATGATGATAGGTAAAGAAATTTAAGCATTTATTTCTTTAAATTCGGACAATGCATTCATTTTTTCGACGGGAAGTTCAGCGATAATTTGTTTTAGGAGTTTGATATTTCTATCCTCACAAATGATTATCAGGTTTCTAACAAGTACACTTCATTTTGATTTGTAAGCCGGACTGTGCCTTCAAAAGACTTTTATTTTTTCTCCTTGTTTAAGTACTCACCAACTACATTCTTATACCTTGAAAAATAAATATTTTATTTGTTACAGAAGCAAATTTTCTCATACTTTAATAATCTTGTATCAATTGTAAGATGTCTTGCAGTTAGAATTTAAGTTTAGAAACGACTTTGTCTGGTATTTTTTTAAAAATTTCTCGTACATGCTGTGTTTAAGAAGCTTCCATAATCTCGTATCTTGATTGTTTAATACACTGTTTATTTAACGAAAACAATTCTGTGAGTTACACTTATACTTTTAATCAGCTACTCATTAACATTAATGACACTAAAGCTAAGGACGTGGTTCGGACAATATGTGTAACGCTAAAATATATTCAATAAAGTATCATTATTTTGCAAGGTGGATACGTAACATTATGCCCAGTTGTTCTTGCTGACCTTTTTGGAACAGAAATGATCGCTCAATCATTTGGAATGTGGCTGTTTGCTTGTGGTCTTGCTGGAACCATTTCATCGCCTATCGGAGGTATATTCATTATGTTTAAATGTTTAATTTCAAAGCTTTATATCAAGATATTGAACATCTAACAACATATTAAATACTAGCAAGACTTAGTGAAAATGATTGTATGTGGCATTTGTATGAATATGAATGCATTGCATTGATAATATCAAGTTTCCACGTTTTAACGTTCATTGTACAAAAGGCCTACGGCACATACACATTTCATACAACATATAATATGAATACATGTAGGTTATACATTATCGTAGTTATACAGTTGTACATTTTTATCACGTAAAACATTTATATTACCAAGGATCTTTTATGCATAACTTTGAAAACATTGATACATATACATAGCAAGGTTTTCACTATTTCATAGCCTATAACATTTGTAACAGAGGAGATATTTACAAAATGCAAGGGAATTTATGATGAACAGATATGATTATATATGGGCTACTGTAGCAGTAAATGATATTCATTTTCAGTATGCCCATGTAAATATTTTGTTCATAGCTCATATTTCAAACCAGTTGATGACAAATTGTATAGATCTGGTACCGTTCTCGAATACAGAATTGTTTTCCGATCATTCAAATTATATAACATGAACTATACATATTTGGTAGGGTTCTTTACCGTGCAGATATCTTTCAAGTTCCAAAATAAGCATTATATGTAAATATATAACCTAATTTACATTTCATGTAAATAAAGGGAGGTAATTAGAAATGTATTTTCGATAAAGTCTGAGCTAAATATTTCAATAAGAATTGAATGCGTATGTTTATATGATTACTTATAATGCAAATAAACATTTGCAGTACATATTTAACATAAATTTGGATGTTTGAAAATTGTTTTAGAAGAATAATTATATACATATATAAAATTTCACTTAAATGTTGTTACATCCTTAATTACAATTTAAAATTCAACATATAACATTTACATTACCGTAATACATTTTATAAATAGAATTATTTTATTTCAGGTTTGATATATGATACCACCAAGAATTATGACATCACCTTTGTTATTGCTGGTGCAGAGTTCCTGATTGCTGGACTATTGTTTCTTTGCTCTACATGTGTCACTCGAAACAAAAAAGTGAAATGAATTATTTTAAATCCAAATCTAAAAATCTAAACGTTCAATTCAATTTTATCAGTATGAAATAAATATTAAGTTTTGTAGTCATATAGTATGACCAATTTTTTTTTATTCAATTTCATGTCAAACACAAATTGAAACCATGAGAAATCGCATTATTATTTTTGTTTTTGTTTCGTTTTCTTAATTGTGCTCTTTAGAAGAGTATATTGAATTATTATTATCATTATTATTATGTTTGCTTCTTATGTATGTTTTGTTTGTTTCTGTTTAAAATACATGTTGAGTCTTTCATTTTTTTGCATTATATATCAGGTAACAAACAAATACAAAATGCACACATTAATGATGATATTTTATTGCCGATTTCCCATCTACCTTTTGATAATATTTTCAGTAAAATACATATTTTGAGAGAGAAAATTACCTGATAAAGTAATTATTTTTACCCGATAATAAAAGTGAACATTATTTATTCCGTCCCTGATATGGTAGTAAATTAACAGAGTTTTACCGAAGTATTTCGGTCACGAAGGCATTCGTATCATCAAATGATAAAATGCTTAAATAGAAATACTTGAATGCTATCAATGCAATCTGCAATTTGAGTATTGACCATGTCATGCTTATGACCTTTTCTGACATAATTTATGCAATAGAATGCAGTATAAATTGGCCTTTGGCAATAGTGCGTATTTTTTCGCTGCTTGTACTAACAAAATATTTATATAATTTAGATATGGAATGTGGTATCGGTCTTGCATGTAATACTGTGATGATGTTTGTGTGTATTTGCTAATAATGTTATCAAAAAAAATATTTGTCCGCTTGTTTTGGTTTGTATGTTGTTTGTGAAACAATGTCCATGATCATATAAAAAGACACTTATGTTTTAAAAAACAAATATGTTTCATGTTTATAATTTTGTATTCTCTGGAATGAAATAATTGTAATAAATTGTAATAAAATGTCATCAAAAGAATTGTTGCCTTTGTCCATTTCAGTTTCGACTGCGTTATAAGTTGTTTATTTGTTTCTTTTATTTGAGAACCATATAGTTGACACATTTTCAAGTATACTTTAAAATATCAAACAATGCAGCAAATCTTCAAATCTAATTCTGACCAAAGAGCCATGTTTAACTTAGTGGTGCATGTTTTATATATTTAATTAAATAAGAGTAAAATTACAAATGAACCAAACTTTTAAACATTTATTAAAACATTCATAGATAAACTACAACCAGAACTGGGCCAAAATTAAGCAAAGAAACAAAGCAATGTTGAAACTATTTATATCTCACCAGATAGCGCAAATTCTTATGGAAAAAAAGAGCAAATATTTTCAAGGAGCAAATTAAAGCAAATACAGCCAGGTGGCAATTTGTAAATATAGAAAAGAAAACATATTAAAGACGTTTTCGGTAGTTTTTTGTGCGCATCATTATGCGCTTCCAAGAAAGATAATCACGGATAATTACTCTTCAAAAAGAAGGTCAAGTTGAATAGTACTCGGATAACTATTTAAATTTCGGCTATAAGCAAATAATGAGTAAATAATACAGAATAAATATTTATAAATGTCCAGGAGAAGATCGGTTCAAAAGAATAAGAGGTCGTTAAGACAACATCAGATAAAGGATTTCTCCTAGCTTTAGTACGTTAGCATTGATGATCATTCTGCGCGCGTTACCCCACCCACTTGTGGTATAGTGACAAAAGTGCGTCGTCACTTGATCACTGGCAGAGAAGTGTTCAAAAAAGTTTAAAATGATATATTTTAAAAATGTAGAAAGAAATAACAAAAATAATATCTAAGAAAAGTTCAAATTTTTATTATTTTCTTTGTAAATTTCTGAATACTTGCTTACTGTTCGGGTATGTTAGTCAAGTAAAGAAATAATATGGCCTTATATAACTTGTTTTAAAACATATTCAGTATCATTTACTTCATACAACATCAAAAGAAATAGAACTTTATATAACAACATGTTTTTGTTGTTTATATCACAATATATTTAGTATAGCACTGATATTTCTAAAGAAAGCGTGGTAATTTTGACAATTGGCATATGCGGTAACCATGGAAACTGCCCGTTTACAAAAAGAAATAAAACAAAACAAACACGTCAACATATTTTTTTATTTCTATTTTTGAAGCCACCATAAAATGTTTCTTGATATATCAAAAATGTAGAAAATTCTATGAAAGAAATATTTTGATAGTTTTAATTATTTACAGAATTTATGTTCATTTTTCTCATTTTTTTGTTCAGTTAATAGGCATGAAAAACTCATTTTATAAAGAAATATGTTCAGATTATCGTTTGTTTTATACAGAACCCTTAGATTATGCAAGTTTTGTGTAAAACTATGCTTATTGTGCGTGTAATAAGCTGTCTTATACATTTTTATAACACAGTTTGACTATTTTGACAGTTTTGAGATATGCGGTTTCCATGGAAACTGCCATTTTTTCAAAAATTTCCAACACGCCATCATATATTTTTCTTTTTATTTTTGAACTTGTCATTAAATTTTACACAACACACAAAAACTTTAGAAAATCCTATGAACGAAATTTTTCAATATCTTTAATTATTCGCAGAATTCATGTTTATTTTTCTCATTTTTTGTTCAGTTTAGAAGCATGGAAAACTCATTTCTTAAAGAAATATGTTGAGATTATTATTTGTTTTATACAGAATCATTGGATAAGGTTATTTTTGCATTTAACAATGCTTGTTGTGTGTATTAAGCTATCTTATACATTTTCTATTTTTTATTACACTGTTTGGCTATTTTGACAGTTTTGAGATATACGGTTATCATGGGAACTGCCATTTAACAAGAAATCCAACACGTCAACATATATTTTTCTTTTTATTTTTGAATTCGCCATTAAATTTTACTAATCATACAAAAAATTAAGAAAATTCTATGAAAGGATTAAATTTTCATAAAACTGTAGAAAATGTTTTTAAAACGTATCATACGATTATTGCATATCATTTTTATTTTCAGTTAAATGACTTACTTAATCCTCTTCACTCCTTGTTGAGCATAGGGCATTAACCACATCACGCCATTGCTTCGGTCCATGGCCTAAGCCTTGGATTCTGTTCATGATATTATTGTTTTGCGGTTTCTAAGGTCCTGTGCCAGTTGTTTGTAGGTCTTCCTCTTCGCGTGGTGCCTTGAGGATTCCAATTTAGGGCTTGTCTGGCTATATTAGGTTGTGGTCTTCGCAGGGTGTGTCCAATCCATCTCCATTTCTTCTGTACGATGGAATCTGTGATTGGTCTTTGCCCTGTCCTTTCCCATAGCTCTTGATTGTCTTGCCACAATATCCGTAAGATCTGTCTCACGCATGTGTTGATGAAGACATGCAGTTGTTGGTCCAAGCATTTGGTCCTTCTCCATGTTTGTATTAAATGAACACACTAAACAAGAAAAAAATTCTAAAGATATTGGTGAAATTGCAAATGCTTTTTATGTACATCTTAAGTATGATAGGTGTTGTTTCGAATTATATGTATAAAAATGTAGCATAAAATTGTGAGCCTACATACCGCACGCATTAGACAGAGAAGTGATTTGTGAAGGCTTTTCAATAAGCCTAAAAATCAGTTTTTATTAACCCAGACGTCGTGAAAGGCGTATTTATTTTCCTCAATTATTCAGATTGTTTAAATGGCAATGGATTGCCTTATTGTTTGATTTTATTGACCTATCAAATTATAAATACATTACAGCATTTATTTAAATATTTGATCAAACTTTGGTTCTACAAAGAGATGATTTTAAAGTCACACTACGTCATCACATCCGAAATAGTTCGATCAGTTAAGCAATTGATTAAAACTTTTGACTTTAAACTTTTTAACCAATGGAATCATGAATGAAAATGTTTACCACCGGTAAAAAGAGCAGAATTATGACAATTCAGACAAGATTTGTAAACTTTAATTTAAATGTCTCTAAGAATAAAGTTGTAAAAAAAAATTACAAAATTAGAACAAATATTTAGAGGCAAAGATATGCAGTTCGTATGAAAATACAATTTACTTTCAAATTGTCATCCTGGACTGTAATTGCTTTGTATACATTATCTGTGTTTGTTAACTATTATCTACAGGATAATAGTGTATGAGATTGGAATATATTTCATTGTTTCTTTCATGGTGTAAATAGGTACAACCAACGGTCGAGCGACAATACAGAGATGCATGGCCATGATTTTAAACACATTAAAGCCACATCACAAGCCATAGAAATAGGGAAACAGCATGGAGGAAAAGAATATATCTATAAAAATACCATTTACTGTACTTAGAGATCCAAATACTAAAATTTTTGTGTTGAAATACACACGTGACAATATAGAAGTAAATGAAAGCGAGGGACTGTAACAAGAAACAGATAAAAAAGTTTAGGCGGGTTGGTGACAAATAAGTCTTATTATAGGTTTGGAAGATTGCTTTGTGTTGTTGTTTTGAATTGCGTATCTCATATGTGAAACGTGATCTCAGAAATAATTTAATAATAATTTAAATAATTTAAATTAAAAGTAAGTTATGATGGCTGTTTTGTATTCATTTTCAGAACTGTTTTAGCAACTGTTGACCATAGAACATACAGTTCAGGTACAGAGGCAAATGTACGGAGAGAGATGGAGGTCCTTCTTGGCAAGAAACAGCTCTGCAAGCTTCTTATCTTTGTAGAAAACCAGACCGCCACACATGAAGCTCAAGTAGACGTTAATCAGATAGTACTTAGTGTCGTCTTCGCAGAAAAATACAGACTATCAGAGGTTATTAAAGACAAAACTAAAATCGGACTGATTGAACTTCCGAAGAGCCAATCTCCAGATCGTCTGCTAAAACAAGCAGACGATATTAAACTTGAAATTAAAGGAAGTGGTTCACTTGACCCAGATATCCCGGATGACGTTAACGTATCTTGAAGGCTCGGATAATTACGTTAGGTTTCCAGTAAAAATAGCGGATTGTAATGGACGAATAACGTTTGTTCTTCGGCTAGGGAGAGACAATTCTGTTCTTCATACCTACTTCTGTAATGTGGCGGATATTTTAGCATTAATCGGTAAGAGTTGTTTCCCTTTTTAGTTTTATATCTTGATAGTTTGTGTAGATTTTACCTATCACTTACGTTCGCATATTATTAAAATGTGCAAGCATTTAGCTGTAAAAATACCTCGGAAAAACTATATTCGTTTGATCTTTGACATAGTTTAATATTGCCAGGTGGCAATTTGTAAATATAGAAAAGAAAACATATTAACCTT